AACCTATGATGTTTCTTTGTGGAGGTTGCAATCAAGGCCACATGTTCGCATTGGGATATGGTCCAGCTAGTTTCCTTCTTTACATTTTTTGTATTTTAGGTGACTCTTGTTTATTTCCCGAAATCACTAATTAAGGAGTACTCATTGCAAAGAACACTCCACTTTCTCAAATCGCGACAAGTTGCGTACATGCAGCGCATCACTTGTCGCAACCTGAGAGTTTTCCCTTTTTTCATAGATTCATTTATTCAAAACGCTTTATCTTTTAAACCGTGCGTCCAAATCTCGAACCGTTTTCACCATTGGATTCCTCGCGTCGAGATCTTCAAAACTAGATCCCATGTTGATAGGTTTTGACGAACCTTTTTTTCACGAAAAAATCGGACAAAAAAACCGAACCGGGAGCACGGTTTTTTCCCTCTCCGAAAGAGGCACACCCGCGCCTCTCGCGAAATCACACCCGTGCCTCTTGTGGAAGCAAAACCGTGACTCTCATGGAAGGAAAAAAAACAGAAAACGCGTTTTTTTCGTTTCCGAGAGGCACGGCCGTGACTTTCGTGAAAGCACAACCGTGCCTCTCGCGGAAGCACAACCGTGACTCTCATGAAAGAAAAAAAAATAAAAAACACGTATTTTTTTCCTTTCTGAGAGGCAGGGCCGTGACTCTCACGAAAGCACAACCGTGCCTCTCGCGGAAGCAAAACCGTGACTCGTGAAAGAAAGAAAACAGAAAATGCCTTTTGGTTTTCTCTTTCCGAGAGGCACGGCCGTGACTCTCGCGAAAACACAACCGTGCTTCTCGCGGAAGCAAAACCGTGACTCTCGCGAAAGAAAAAAGAACAGAAAACGTGTTTTTTTTTCATTTCCGAATGGCACGGCCGTGACTCTCGCTAAAGCACAAACGTGCCTCTCGGAAAAAAACGTGACTTTCGCAAAAGAAAAAAAAAGAAAACACATCTTTTTCGTGCAAAAAAGTTTTTTTTTCAAATTGGTTTTATCGAAAAGCTAAGGAAGACCGAGGGGAAAACCAAAACGTCGAAAAAAACCATTTAAAACCCGAAAACGCATGCGGAAAAATAGAAAAAATCTGAAGAGAGCGTCCAGAACACGACACGTGACGAATGGCTAAGAGCGCGTCAAGTGGCGCAGATCGTTGCAAGGCTTCCGTAGGAGCGCTCGTTAACGAGTTGGTCCCTTTATTTCCACATATACAGCAAAGCGGTCCACGGTCCCCTCTCATTAGCCCAGTAGGCTTAGTAGTAGGCTGCGCTACGCAGTCCTCGCCCTACGTGCAAAGGTTCTTGGCCCATGAAAGATACGAGACGAAAAATTCAGACTTGTTTTTTTCTTTTTTGAATAGCTCCTTTTTTCAGCCGTTTTATGCTCATGGTGTGGGCTGGGCCATTTCCACTCGTTTATCTCTCTCCTTCTGCCATAAAAAAAATCTCTCTCCTTCTTCTCCATCCCGATCTAGATCCCGCCGCCCAAATCCTCTCCCCTCCCCCCTCCATGGCGAGCCAGCTCCCCCTTTCCCAGCGAGCCGCGCCGCTAAAACCCTCTCCCGCCCCCATCGTGGTGCTCCCCAAAGGGCTACCTCCATCTTATGCTGCACAAATACCAGCGAGATACTGGCGAACCATCTCCCGCCCCCATCGTGGTGCTCCCCAAGCCATGATCCTCTCCCCTCTTTGCCGTGGTGTAAGTGGTGCGGGGAGGCCCGTGTGCCGTCGAGGGAGATCTTGGCCGTAAGGTGCCATTTGGCCTACTCCTCGTACTCAGCTCGTTCAAGTGCTCCGATTTGAAAAGCTAGAGATGCATTTTCCAGGGAGTCTGACATGGACTTTACTGCAAGCAATGGGCCTTGGAGATTCCGTCATGCATTATTTAACAAGCTCAGACCTTGCGTCAATGACAACTGAGAAGGAAGTGTCAGACTTATCAAAAGGAAACAATTTATTCTTTCTTGGCCTTTAGTTTGCAAATACACTATTGTTGAGATACAGAATGCACGTCAACTGCACAACAAATTATCATGGCTTTCAATTTTCCAATATTTCCACATAATTTTGTTTGTATAATTTAGTTTGCTTTCCCTTTTCAAATCTTGCACGTAATTTTGTTGTCTAACAGATGGGCCATGAGTTTGGACTTCACAGTGGCCGCTGCTCATTCCGCCACCGCGCTGCGTGCCCTCACTGCCGACTGCACCCAGTCCGCCTCCGTTGTGTCCTGCGCTGCGTCGGCATCCCATTTCCCGCAGGACCATGGCCCCGTGGCGTCGACGTCGTCGACCACAGCAATGCCGACGCTGCCCGGGATGTGTACTGGGCTGAGGCTCTGTGATACGAGTAGATCATCCAAGAGGATTCGCACTTGCGCATAAGTGTTCACAAGTATTCCCTCCTAAAGAAATATAAGAGCGTTTAGATTACTAAAGTAGTGATATAAATGCTCTTGTATTTCTTTAATGGGAGTACTACTAGTATGATTTAGGTTGTTGTTGCTGCTCCTTCGAGTTGTGATATTTCTGGCGTGATCTCCATCCCTGACCAGGAATGTACATTTGAATTTCTGATTTGAGATGGATCATGGAATTTAGCGATGTGAACTTGTATTAGCAGCACTTATTTTCTAACTACATGCTACTTTTGTCTGACATGGATGATTAGCAGTACTACCCCTGAAAGGGCTCGTGGATGACACATAGCACAAAAGAGAATGAATAAAAGCTAAAACTGATGATGAAGATTTAATACAGTAGAAAAGGAGTGTGAGTGAAGCGGAAGTTAGATTGAAAAATAAATTTCATTGGTCAGGCTTTGACTGATGCAAGTCAAATTCATCCATGACCTGTTTTGCTCAATTTCCCCTGTTGGCATGATAGAACAAAAAATGCAAGTTAAAGTAGTGGTTAAACTAGTTCAATAAGGTATTGGTTAAGCTTGCCCTGTGTTGTAATACTTATTGAAAATCTTCCTATCCATTGTAGAGGAGATCTACAGGAAGCCTATCTGCAATGTCTTACTTAGGCCGATATTTCTCATTGCAACAAATTCCTTATATGAATCTAATATTCGTGTTTGGAAATATCCTGCAATATTTGTGTAATTTATGGATACTTTTATTTTCTGGACATTTGTGATTCAACCGTTAGCTCTGCAGTGAAGATAAAAGCATGCCTCCTACTTTGTTGATTCTTATTGTTTTTATTTTTTGTATTTTTCTTTTGAAGCATGGGAAATGCAAATGGTATGAAATGCATGAAGTTAAAAGGCCTTTGATCAGTGATCAGCTTCAATCACATCTCCGTTGTGTGTGCATGTCTATTTGTCTTATGGTTCGCCTATGTTTCATTCTATATGTTAGGTCGAGTACGTTTTCAACTCTTCTGCTGTAGTGCCCCCATGACGATGTTGTATTAGATTAACAATGTGCATCCCAAAAGCATAACGATGGTGTCTGAAACTATAGGAAGATGCATCCCATGGTTGTTGCCAGAAAGTATAGGAAGATGCATCCCATGGTTGTTGCCAGAAAGCCCTGTATGGGAGTTCTATTGTGTATCTTTTTCTTGAGCTTGTTGCTTATTTCTCATGGTGCGTCAAAGTTTCACCCTGTAATGTGCAGCACATCTATGTTTGTAATCTGTTCTGGAATGAGTTATTTTGAGTGGGGTTACATTCAGAAGGTTGTACTTCCCTCCATTCCTAAATATTTGTCTTTTTAGAGATTCCAAATGGACTATCACATACGGATGTATATAGACATATTTTAGAGTGTAGATTCACTCATTTTGCTTCGTATGTAGTTACTTGTTGAAATCTCTAAAACAACAAATATTTATGAACGAAGGGAGTATCTGGAAGCATTTGCTCTCCCACTGATTATTGCTTGCTTCACCTCCTCAAGGTCCGCGTCGTGGCGTGCGGTGAGTGCGGTAGGCCGCAGACGACCCCCCTCATCCATCGCGTGCGCTCAATAACACATCTAACTTATAAAGGATGAAGGGGTAGGTAGTCACAACGAAGCTGGCCACGTCGCCTTTAAATCGCTCATGCCACCGCATGTTATTTTCATGCCCCGCCAAGGGCATTTTCGTCATTTCGCATCCGGGCGTATAAAAGGCAGCCGCTCCAGTGGAGGTAACCTAGCCTTCTGCCCATCCCGCACTCCCGCCGGCCCCTCTCCTCTCTCTCCCTCCAAACCCTAGCTAGACCGCGCCCGCCTCCCTTCCCTGCCGCTGTCGTCTCCTCCACCCGGCCAGCCGCCGCCATACCTCCTCCACCCAGCCAGCCGTCGCCACTCGCGCCCGTCTCCTCCGTCCGGCCTCCGCCCACGAAGAGGGAGAGCGAGCGGGTCAGGCGACGGGAAGGGAAGAGGAGAGGGAGAGCGAGCGGGTCAGGCGACGGGAAGGGAAGAGGAGAGGGAGAGCGAGCGGGTTAGGTGACGGCCATGGCCATGGCGCACGCAGATCCGCCCGCCCCGTCATCGCCGCTGCGCTCGCAGGTGAGCGGCGCCGACCTAACGGATCTTCCTCGTCGTCAACCCGGCGTACTGGTGTGGTGGATCCGCCTCCTCTCTGTTTCAACCATGGTTGTGCTCTTTCATGTGCGCGGCCCTCTCCGTGACAACTGCAGCCCAAGGTCGTCAAATCCGTCACCGTCGCCATTCTTCTGCTCGAGGCCTTTGCCACCATGGATGGATGCGGGCAAGGCCAGCCTCCCCCTCCCCACGCATAGGTACTCCCCACTCCCCTCCTCCTTCCCTTGATTTAACTCTCTCTCCCCCACCCTATCTTTCCCGTGATCTGCTCTGCTTGTTTTGGTTCCTTTTAATTGATGCATTATTTTTGTCTATTTCTGTGTACCCAGGTGACTATGGGAGTTGCATTGACAGAGTCCATGTATTAAACTGGGGCATTTTTGGCAACTGCAGCAACCTGACAATTAATTCGTTCTCATCCAAGGTAATTTACTTCCCCCCTTTATGTATCATTGATGGATATATGTGATGGTTGGTTGTCATTACTGAAGCAAGAATTGTTGATGGTGACTACCTTTCGAGCAGGTTTACCGCTCGTCTTGCTAATGTTAATTTGTATGTTTGTTCATGGCTTGCTTCCCAACCACATGTGCTCCCCACGGTGAGGAACGGACATGCTCAACGCCTTCCTTCCCAACCAGGTGCTCCTCTATCTCTCTCTATGTGTTGTGTGATGAATGTGTGGTAGTGGGATTGTGGGAGTGGGATAGGCAGAGGTAAAGAGAGCAGATTCCAAATGCAATGGAAGGGAACTTTCAATCCAAGTTTAATTTTCATTGGGCATTCAAATTCTTAATTTGATCTTCTCAAATTTTCGGCTAGGTGTATAAACATACATGCACATGTATATCTAATTGGATTGTTAGCTGAACATTTTCTCTAATATACATCTCTGAAATTACTAATATGTGGGTTTCCTAAACATGATATTTGCAGATATGAGAAAGAAGAAATAGGACCAAGAAAATTAGTTGCTCATATATTCATCTGTCTTGCGGAGAAGAACCCGAATGGAGAACTTGGTATGCCGAGTAATGTGCAGGTACAGAATTATCATCATAACAAATAGAATCATCTGAATATTGTTTGGAGGATAACAATTCCTCAAATTGGCTCATTTAATTTAGACTGTACGCCCAGTTATTGTTGTCTTGGTTACTCCATTTGTTCAAACTAGAAAATACATATTCTTTTCAGTCATGTATATTCGTACTGGCTTAACTAATTAATGAATTCATCAAATGCCCTTGCTTATGATAGTATCTCTTTGGCTTTTTCCTCTGCATGCTTCTTTTCTAGGCTATCTGTCTTTCCATACCCTGCTCTCCTTACTTATTTTATTATTAGTAGAATATAATATCAGATCACCTACCATCATTATTCTTTATTACAATCTCATAGGAAAGAAGTCTGATTAGTTGGGTATTCTTAGCTAGCATTCAAAATGGGATGCTGCACTGCCATTAAATGAGCATAAATATAATGAGAAGGTGCACACAAAGTGGATGCTTAGATTAATGCTTTAGAGTTTAGCCTGAATATAGCCAATCAGTATTCTTACTAGGCTGCTGTTTAAGTACCTATGCAACAATATCAGAGGGATGCAGCACCTAAAATATGTAGGGTTTGTAAGCTTGGAGCAAGAGTGCAATGGAAAATGTTTACTGTGTTCCATTAAAACAGGTAAGAAAGTAATTTAGTTTGGGTGGATTGATTAGTTAAAAAAAGTAGATGGTCCTTCACTTGGATCTTTAGGTTTAGTCATTGCTTTTCTACTTCAAACCGACGGATTTATCTTCAGCTAAAAAAAGGACAGCGGGCTTGGTTAGCTTCAAGAAGAAAAATATTTCAAAACCGTGTAGCTATAGAGAAATATTCCATGTCTATTTCCCTGATTTCCAATCCACTTTATGAAAGCCTGCTGTAACTGTTTGCGTAAGTGGTTGTATGATATGTTGAATATGCTGTGTCAAGCTAGACGGATATGTTTGCTTGTCTTTGGAAATATTCACCTGTTGTGTTCTGCATTGACCTGCATTTATATTGGCAACTCTGTTCTTATTTGTCTCTGTTCTGATAGTTTTAGGTGAGAACAGAGTATTTATAGTTGTGACATGCACCACAGGCTTTTCATATTTATTAATTTTTTAAATGTGACCGTGCCGCCGACAGATGTGTGCCTCAGTTTAGTTGATGTGCCTACCGTGTTTCAGGCGTGTTGTTTTTTCTTAGATAATCATAAATTGACAGGTGCTTGCTACTATTAGTTAAAAACTTAAAATATCTTACATTAGGATGTACTGTGTTGTGTTTCATGCAATTGTCTTGATTTAGACAGCAACTGAACCAAGTCACTGATTAGTAGAATTAGTCATGAGATGAGGCACAGAAGAGTTGAGAGGGGCAGCCGTCGTATTTACCATGCATGAAAGTGGCTCATGATTCCATTCAAGTAATGGATATATAGTAGTTGCTAATTATATTTATACTGATTGCCAGTATAATTAGCCTATTGTCTATGTAGTTTGCTGATTATACACTCTTTTCGTTCGTGTTTCACCCTCCTAAGGCATTTGTTTTGTCTGCTACAGGTTGCTTTTGTCCTCTCACCTGCTCTTTGGTCTTCGTCTATTGCTCTGCTGGCTCGTCATCTCCTTGGTTGGAGGTTGTTCTTGGTCCCGCCATTTGTTCTTGTTAGAGCTCACTGAAAATATTTGTTCTCACCTATGCTAATGCCTTTCGGTTAAACTAGGAATTATTTCATTGTTGGAAGCTTTCATCTGCATATATGCGTAAGGGGTTGTGTATTTATTTTGTTTCATTCATTTTTTGGTCTATTTA